GAAATTCATATTCATTCCGATGTTATTTTTGATGATAGCACATAAAACAAAATGAATTGTCATAGGTAGTTAGGTGCCAGTGAAACCCAAGGCTTTGTGGTGCATGCTGCTAACCTCTGACATGGCTTCTTTGCCTCAGGTTCTACGGATTTTGGATCCAGTTACCTGTACAGAAAGCTCACCGGACGACCCATTTTCCGAATCTTCACCACCCACATTACTCACTACAAAGAAAAATATTGGACGTTTCCATCCCTATACCAGATATGAAAATATAACTTTCAATTGCTGCAATCATTGCAAGGGAGAACTCATTGCTCTTTAATGTATAATGTACTAGAGGTGTGCTGAGTACCCAAGATTCATTATTTGGGAGCTGGGTTTCTTATGATGCTAGAAATAAAATCAGTTCATCTTTATATACTATATATCCACAAAGATATTTCATGTGCTGGATTCCAGATTATTTTTCTTAAGAAATGTCTCAGGGTAAGAAAAAAATGAAACTATGTAGATATATTTAAAGTACAAAGTACTTCTCAGATAGTTCAGTGTTTGTGCTAAAACTAAAAAAGATTTTATAACTTTCTTTTAGGCCCTAAATTATTATTCTTTGTTATATATTTTATATGAACTATAAACAGGTTTCATTTTGGTGCATAAAACAAAACCAGGCAAACTACAACATGCGTTGGATGTGGCCATGCCCATCCCTTTCTTGTTGCCAAAGCTGCATTCCTGCACAGCGGCCGAGTGCAGTGTGGGGCTAGCAAAGGCCATTCCCTCGTAGAGCATGTTGGCTAGTTAATAGCTGGAGTATAGGAAAAAGGGATTTGCATTCCCTTTGTGGTCACATTTGGGCTATAAAAGAGGCCTTCAGAGACTCTGGGATAAAGGCATTAATCTTTCTAAACAAATATATTAGGAAAATAAAAAGGTATTTTAGAACTACAACAAATAGTTCAACAACAGTGTCCCATGCTGTTGTTTTGCAAAGTACTCTGACTTCTGCATGGTTGCAGTTGGACAACCTGGAGGAAACAGGATTCATAATTACTGACTCAACGTTGGCACAGGCAGTGTCTGCAACAAGAATATCTAGTTTGATAATATAATGATGGAAAATGAGTTTCTGGGGAAAATGTAATCCATTAATTTACATATATTACAAAATATATTATTGTATAATGTATCATAAGATGCCCTTTTATTGACCTTTAAATAGTCACAAAAATCTGTCATCAAAAAATATACTGAATTTTAAAAATTGTCCGAGAAGGCAAATCTGGCCAAACAAATTATACTTTCCTGTCAAACCTACTACTTTTTGTCTGACTCATCTGAGCTGTATTTATAGCTTTCAATGGCAATAAATTTCTCTATTTCCTTCTTATTGGTTAGTCCTTTCTCCTTCCAGAATAATGGACTTTGGCTCCAGTCTTCATGTGACTTTTACTATGTACAGCTGTTTTGTTGCCTTTTCCTTTGTTTGCATAATATAAACTTCTTAGAAGAAAATGGAAATTTTCATGACATCAGCTTTGACTGATTTCTTGGGTATAACAACAAAAGCACAAGAAATGAAAAAGTAAATTTCACCAAAGTTAAAAACCTTCATGCATTGAGGTACATGGTAGCTCTAAGAATGGGAGAGGAAAAAAAAAGAGAACAAATTATATATCTGAGAAGCGGCCAGAAGATACAAAGAACTCCAACTCAACAACCAGAAAACCTGCCCAGTGAGAAGCGGGCAGAGGCTGGAGAGATGCCGCAGTCTGTAGAACATTGCCACACGACCATGAGAACCCACGTCCAAATCGCCAGCACTTAACATGAAACATGGTGCAGTGGTGCACATCTGTAACCCCAGCATGCATGGAGCAGTCAGTCACTTCAGCTGAATTGATGAGTGCCAGGCTAAGTGAGAAATCCTGTCTCAAACATTAAGGTGGAGAGTGATAAAGGAAGACACCCAATACATAAGCTTCTCCTTTACTGACATGTGCACACACTCCAATGTACAATGTACCACACACGCTTGTAAGAAATGAGAAAATTATTTAAACAGTTACCTAAAATACACATATATATTTGTATATACATACTTTAAATAGCAAATAAGCACATCAGAATATTGTCAACATCAGTAGTGAGTGAAATGTAGTTGTTACCATTTTCATGAAGATAACTATTAACAAAATATTAGGATGGCTATTAACAAAAAAGCAAGAGAAATTGTAGGCCAATCTGAAGAGACCTGGAACCGCTGCACTTCACCAATAAGAGTGTAAAATGCAGCAGCCATTGAAGACAGCATGGAAGTTCCTCAAAAAACAAACAAAAAAACAACTACCATGTGGCCTGGCCCATCGTTCTCCTAGGTGGATAGCCAAGAGAACTTCGAGGTTGTCATAGACTCTTGTACACCAGTTTTTGTAGCAGTATTGTTCATGGTTGTCAAAAGTTAGTTTTAATCTTAACATCAGTCACTGGTTAAGTAAATAAAATCATCTATATGATAAGGAATACATTCAACCTCTAAAACACAATTGATGCATGCTACAATTTAGATAAATGTTACATGAAGTAGGTTACATACAAAAGGACAAATATGGTACCAGGGTCTGGAGAAGAGCAGGGAGGGGCGTTTAAAAACTTAAACAATACCCATATTTTTCAATAATAAGTGAGTGGAAAAATATTACAAAGTGACTCCTACTGGATTCCTGTATTTCTTTCTGATAATAAGAAATGAAAAAGTCCATAAAGTTGGAAGGGGATGTAGTGAAGCCGGGTACAGGATGAGTTGGAGGGATTGGATGGAAGGTAGACATGATCAAAACACATTGTATATATGGTATCAATGGATACCTTAAAAAAGTTCACTAAAATTTTAAATAGTGGAATGACTTATTTCCCCAAAGATGATTGACAAATGGCCAACAACCACACATAGTTGTTTATTAGGACTATGCAGATCTGTTAAGTATCTGAGAGACTATGTAGAAATTGGACTCTCCTTAACCGTGTAAAATGGTGTGTCTGCTGTGGGGAACTGACAAACTGTATAAGTGTTCTCTACACTGCATCTTGTCTGCAGCAGATCCAAGCACATCCAAGAGAAAACACAGACTTAAGTAGCTGTATACATGTGATGCTTGCACAGCACTACTCCCCACACCCAAAAGATGGAAATGCCCCAAGTGATGAGTGAATGAACAAAAATGCTGTACACGTGTTACATGTTTTCTCCCATAAAAAGGAATTAAATACTGATGCATGCTATATTGTGGATGAGCTTCCAAAGCACTATGCTAAGTGGAAGAAGTCACACGTAAAAGATCATGTTTTTAACTATGTAAAATTTCTAGAATAGGCAAATCAGAAAGCACATGGTATCTGCACAGAGGAAGTGTGGGGCGAGAGGCCTTGAAAGTGGCTGATCACAGGGATGGGCTACTAGGAGTGATAGAAGCATTTTGGAGCTACATAGATTGGGGCTATATATGAATACACTAAATGCTGCTGAACTATGGTTTAAAAAAAATAAGTTACATAGAGGAAAAATTTGGGGCCACCAATTTTTTTTTTGCCTTACTTTCCCAGCTAACCTTCTACATTACAACACTTCTATACTATCATATAGTAGCATTTTTAGCATTTAGAAATATTACTTCACTGTTCCGTTCTAATATCCTGCTTCCTCCTGCTTCCAAACCCAACCCTAAGGCTTTTCCCATTTCTTCCTAAAATGAAATATTTCATTTCCTTAAAAATTAAGTAAAATAATTACTCCAGATGGAGACAGGTAGGACTTTGGATTTTTTTCACAAATATCTTTACTCATGAGTCAAGTACTTGGGTACCATGCATCATCTGCATTCAGTTTGCCTCTAACTCATATCACAATCCTATATTAAGCATTGCACAATATGCACGTGGATGTCAAAACCAATTGTAATGAAATGAAGGATGGCTTGATGTGGTACAAAAGTTGAGACAGACACAAGGCATAGTGGTCCACACCTGTAACACCAGCACTTGAGGCAGAGGCAGGAGGGTTCTAAATTCAAGGTGGACCTAGGCTACATAAATCCCATATCATAAAAACAAACTAACAATCAAGTAGATACAGGAATAAACCATTCTCTCTGCATTTTCCAATTCTTCTAAAACACACATTGAGTTTATGTAAATGAACCGGGTGGTGGCGGTGCACGCCTTTAATCCCAGCACTCAGGAGGCAGAGCCAGGCGGATCTCTGTGAGTTCAAGGCCAGCCTGGGCTACCAAGTGAGCTCCAGGAAAGGTGCAAAGCTACACAGAGAAACCCTGTCTCGAAAAACCAAAAAAAAAGAGTTTATGTAAATGAATGCACACACAGGCATTAGACATATGGAGGTCATAGGCTTGTATTATGTAAAGCATTTACAATGATTTTTAAAACATACCTAAAACACTATTAGGCATATGTTATGCACAAAATAGAATTAAGTGTAGAAAAGATATGTTGTTATCTTTCTATGGTACTAACAGGTGATACTCTTCACTGTTTAGGTCACCACCACTAAAAATTCAACTTTGACAAACAGAATATTGTGTAAAGCCTTGATAGAGACTTAAGTCATTCTTTAAGCCTTATGACTTGCTCTATTGAAAGATTTAAATGTTTACTACGTTTATTTATTTTGTGGTCGGGATGTGGGATGTGTGTTCCACTGTGTGTGTGGTCAGAGGACAGCTTGTAGGAGCTAGTTCTCTTTCCACCATGTGGAGCCCAGGGATTGAACTCAGGTCATCAGACTTGGTGGCAAGTGCCTTTATCCACAGCCATCTTGCTGTCCCTTTTGCAATACTTTAAATGACCATAGGGACTATAAATAGAAATGTATGCCTTTCGTCTGGCTTTCTGAGTAGAAGTGTTAACACAATTTAGAGGTAGAACACAGAGTTCCTTCATTGTTCAGCTTGTTGAACAGACTACAAGACAGCACAACATAATCAACACCATGAGAGACGTTTATTTTGTGTTAGTGTGAAGACAATATAGATTCACCGTCAGCATTACCAAAAGACAAATCCCACTCCATAATTTAGTATTATCAAGACACTGGGTCCATCGGAAATGACATCCAAAACTCTGGTGACAGCATCTTCAAGTGAAGGCTTTCCCGGACAACTTCAGTTATAGTGGTCGGTGAAGCGGAAGGATTTGGCATCTGGCATGTTGTACAGGTTGTTCTGCAGCTGTTTGGAACGCCGTGCTTCTAGTCGGAGCTGCCTGGCTCTCTCCTTGACAGCCTGTTGCTCTGCGATTTTCTCTATCTGTTTTCTTCTGAGCCATCTGTAGAAAGAGGCAGGATCAGATTTGGTGAATATGATGAATCATATGATAAGGTTCTCACCTACAAACACATCAAAATGAACATTTCTATAATGAAATGGAGTCAAGAGACAAACTGTTCAAGTATTAACACTTCAGGCTTATTTCCCAGGCTCATTCAAGAAAACAGTTTACACTTTGCTTGAAATTAGGTCTGTCTGTGGTGAGACTGACAACTTACTTGGTTTGGTAGTAATCAAACACAAGAATTTACACGTGTTATAAGTCTCAGCCCTTTTCTAAAATATTTGCTATCTTTCAATAACATATTTCTTGCAATTAGCTTGTAAAACAGTCCAGTTAAAAAAATTAGCAAGATTCAAAACTACTGCCTCACTCTTCTTAACAGGGAAATTCTAGAGCCTGCGCTCAGTGGCTAGAGCAGCCCTTCCTTAAAATCAAAACGAAGGCTATGCATGAAAAAAGATAAAGAAAACATAAGCATCAAAAAGATAAAAGGAAAGTCCTTGCTTAGTTAAAATAACACAATAACTAACTTTATACACATCTACCTGGTATATAAGTGTATATGGGATATATATATATGTATATGTATATGTATATATACTAGATATGTACACACACACACACACACACACGTGTGTGTGTGTGTGTGTGTGTGTGTGTGTGTGTGTGTGTGTGTGTAGTTTTCCAGAAATAAATCCAAACAACTAATAATAAAAAAAAAAAAAACACTTTTTGGGTCATGAATTTCATTTTATTTTAAGCAAATTAATTACCTGTTGTAAGACATTGAAACAATATGATCACAATGTGTGTGTGTGTGTGTGTGTGTGTGTGTGTATGTGTGTGTATCTGAATATGTATATATATATGTTTTTTGAGACAGGGTTTCTTTGTGTATCCCTGGCTGTCCTGAAACCTTCTCTATAGACCAGGCTGGCCCCAAACTCACAAAGATCCACCTGAGTGCTGGGATTAAAGCATGCACCCACCACCCTACCTGACAACAATGTATATTTTTATTGTGACTATGTTTGCAAAGAAATATTTAGAAGACAGGCATTCTAGTACTGATAGTCATGGTTAGATTTCTGGGTGATGAAACTATAGTCCTTTTCCTCAATGCACACTTAGTTTTTCTTTTCAAATAAAAGGTTGAGAGAGATACAGACAGAAAGAGAAGGAAGGAATGAAGGAGGGAGGGAGGGGGAGGGAAGGAGAGAGAGGAGGGAGGGATGGAGGAACTTCATACAAGTGGAGTCAACCTTCACTTTATTCTCCAACCTTCCCAAAGGCTAAAGCTCTGAAGAGTGGTCTGTATGCTCAGGACCAATGAGGTAACAGAAAACAGAAAGGAGACCATGCTAGCTGTTGACCACTGTGAAGGCACAAAGGCATGGGAACCTACTGTCTAAAGGCCCTATCGCGGCCCTCCGTTCCTCTCAGGAAGAACAGACACTCTTCTTGCTTCCGGAGCTCCTCCGTCTTCCTTTCTTTCATCTGCTCCTCATGCTTTTTCTTAAGCCATAATCGAAAAGCTTGTTGAGGGTCTCTGTTCACCTGCTGAGTAGAAAAAAACAAACAAACAAACCACAATTTGCTTAATTTAGATGACCTAAAACTACCTCTTAGAACCTTAATGAAGTTCCACAAGATGGCAAGTCCCCATTCAGCGTTTTCAGAACACTGACTTCATCGTGGCCTTCCTAGCACCCAGTTCAAATGCACACCCCTTGCATCCACCAGCACTGGTCATGCTCTGAAAGGAGGCAGCGCTGGCCCATCTCATTTCTTCATCCTGTCTCAGTTAGGGATTCTATTGCTGTGAAGAGACACCATGACCATGGCAACTCTTATAAAGGAAACATTTCATTGAGGGGGCTCACTTACAGTTTCAGAGGTTCAGTCCATTATCATCATGGCAGGAAACATGGCAGCTTGCAGGCCAGAGGTAGCTGAGAGTCCTACTACATCTTGCAGGCAACAGGAAGTTGACTGACACACTGGGTGGATTCCTGAGCATAGGAAACCTCAAAGCCCACCCCCACAGTGACATACTTCCTCCAACAAGGCCATACCCACTCCAACAAAGCCACACCTCCTAAGAGTGCCACTCCCTATGAGATTATGGGCGCCAATTACATTCAGACTACCTCATATCCTATTGAGGAAAATGGGGAGTGGAGCTTAAGATCCCTTGGCTGGCATGCTCAGTGCCCTGAGATCCACCTCCAACACCACCCCAAACAGTCTTACTGAGAAATCAACTAGCGGAGAAGGTAACAGCTTGGTTTTCCAAGTGAACTCTTTGACAAATGAAATAGTTTCCCCCAAAGATAGAAGCATATAAAACAAAGAAGGGAAAGAGTTGTGGGCTTTGGAGTAGTTTCTGAAAGTTCCATGGAGTAGAGTTTGTAAATGAGTAATTCAACACTGTGTTAATCTTTTCCTTAAATTCTACATTCTTTAGTTTTAACAGTACCTGTCAGAAGATACTTAAACTGCTAGGTACATCTTCAAAACTATAACTACTGGGACTGGAGAGATGGCTGAGCCGTTGAGAGCATGGCCTGCTCTTCCAGAGGATCCAGGTTCAGCTCCCAGAACCCACACGATAGCTCACAACCATCTCTATCTCCAGTTCCAGGGGTCCACTGGCCCCTTCTGGCCTTCTCCAGCACTGCGCACGTGTGGTACACAGACATACATGCAGGCAAAACACCCGTACACATAAAATAAAAATAAATCCTTAAAAAGTTAAACTATGATTGCTGAATGTACACACACACACTCATGATTTGGCATACCTCTTTTTTCATAGTATTTATCACTTAACATTTTATTTTATATTTCAAAATTTTTTAGTATTTCTTTTTTTTCTTTTCTTTTTAAGATTTATTTATTATGTACACAGTGATCTGCCTGCATGTATGTCTGCAGACCAGAAGGCGGCATCAGATCTCATTACAGATGGTTGTGAGCCACCATGTGGGTGCTGGGAACTGAACTCAGGACCTCTGGAAGAGCAACCAGTGCTCTTAACCTCTGAGCCATCTCTCCAGCCCTAGTATTTATTTTTTACTTGTGTGTGTGTGTGTGTGTGTGTGTGTGTGTGTGTGTGTACATGTGTGCAAGTGCCTGTGAAACACAAAAGGCATCATATTCCCCAGAGTTGGAATTGTGAGCCACCTGACGTGAGTGTGAGGAACCCCACTCTGGTCTTCTGCAACAGGAGAAGGCACTCAAGTGCTGAGCCGCCTCTCTGTCCTCTATTAATTTCTAAATTGTAAGGAATTCTTACTCCACATGCTCTGTAAGACAGAGTATCCAATCCCTGTGTTGATTAGAACGGCATTCCTGTGCATGAGACAGCACATGCCATCTAATAAGCAAACAGATAAACTGCTACATTGGATACATGGCAACTTCAATTAGTATTTCTTTGATTTTAAAAAGTGTGTATCATTTTTCTTATGCTGGGGTCACCAATACGAGCAAATTACTATTCACTCCTTTCCTAAATTTTTTTTTCAACTAGAACACTGCAAGTTTTGCTCTAACAATATAAATAATGAAAGTATCAATAATATGTGTAATGATTTTGAAACTCCTAATTAGCTTTTCTGGAATTTTTATTAAAATAATTTTTAGGAATTACTTTTATTGTTTTAAATTATGTGTATATGTGCATGTCTGTGTGTGGGCATGTGCATGTGTGTATAGTGCCTGTAGAGACCCTGCATCAGACACCCTGGAGCTGAAGTCACAAGCAATTCTAAGGCATGTGTGGGTGCAGAGAACTGAACCTAGGTTCTCTGAAAGAGCAACCGGTGTTCTTAGCTACTGAGTTATCTCGTCAGCTCCAATAAAAATAAATTTTGAGGGGCCATGCCGGGCAGGGAAGCAGGCTAACGGCACATCTTCACCTCTCCCTCAACTCCTCCAAATCCAATCCTCCAGGCCCATCCCCATGTCTGTAGCAGACCACCAGCTGAGGCGTCCCCTTCTTCTCTGTCCCCCATCTCCAGAGGTCACACAGGATCTTCAGCCTCCATCACCACCCCACCCCTTTGTCTCGACCGCCAACTCCCACAGGCATTCCCTGGGAACCCATCAACCACGCAGGCCAGGGAAGCATATAGACAATCCTCAGACCTATACTCTCTCTCCTCTTCTCCAAATCCAACCCCCATTCTCATCCCCCAGCTCTGTAGCAGACCAGCATTGGCAGCCTCTCTTCCCTCTTTACCCCCATCCCAGGGGACTAAGCAGATCTTGGTGGCACATCCTACTTTCCTCCCTCCTTTGGGTCCCCTCAGCTTGCCCACCCCAGCCCATCTCCATTCCTAATGTCAGCTCCCAATACCTAGAAGCACACTCTACCTGAACCTCCAGAGGCCACAAGGGGCAGGATCTCAGAAGCATTTCCTACCAAGCTACCCACACCCACCAAACTCTCCTCAGAACCAGAGAGGGCAACAGAAGCCCAGGAATGGAACACCCATCTAACAGAGACAAGACCAGATAGCAGCACTGAGAATTTCAATCTTCCCAAATCCGGATGCCTAGACATGAGTATAAAACCATGATCAGTAACAGCCAGGACAATATGTCTCCACTACATCCTAGCCACCCTACAACAATAGGCCCTGAGAAATGCAATATAGAGGAAGCACAGGGCAAGGACATCAACATAATCTTTATGAATATGTTAGAGTCCTTAAGAGGAAATGAACACATCTATTAAATCTACAAAAACAAACAATGGAATGAAATGAAAGTCTTGCAAGTGGAAATAGAATCAATAAAGAAAACCCAAACTGAGGGAAAACTGAAAATAAAAAATTTAGGAACTCCAACAGGGACCTCAGGAGTAAGCATCACCAACAGAATACAAAAGGTGGAAGAGACAACCTCAGGCATTGAAGATAGAAATGGATACCTCAGTCAAAGGAAATGTTAAATCTAAAAGATTGCAGGCATAAAGCATCCTGGAAATCCATGACACTATGGACAGACCAATTCTATGAATGATAGGGATAGAGGAAGTAGAAGAAACCCAGGTCAAAGGCACAGAAAACATTTTCAACAAATCATAAAAAAAAAAAAATTCCTAATCTAAAGAAAGAGGTGCCTATCAAAGTACAAGAAGCATGCAGAACACTAAATAGACTGGACCAAAAAAGAAAGTCCCCTTGGCATATAATAATCACTAAATTACAGAACAAAGAAAGAATAATAAAAGCTGCAGGGAAAAAACCAACATATAAAGACAGACCTACTAGAATTACACCTGACTCCTCAATGCAGACTCTAACAGCCAGAAGGTCCTGGACCCCAAGACCAGACTACTATACCCAGCAAAGCTATCAATCACAATAGATAAGAAAGACACTCCATAATAAAAACCAAATTTAAACAGTATTTATCACAAATTCAGCCCTACAGAAGGTGCTAGAAGGAAAACTCCAACCTAAAGAGGTTAACTACATGCAAACAAACAGAATACATAATCCTAGACCAGCAGCAAATCAAAAGAAAAAAACCCACATCACCACAAAATAATTGAAATCAACAAACACTGCCCATTGATAACTCTCAATAATGTCTCAATTCTCCAGTAAATAGATCGCAAAGATACTGCACATCCCTTGATTCTTAAGAGCTGAAACCTACAAATGTAATACACAGTGTGGAATAAAACACCAATTGTCAGACTAGAGAAATATTTATAGCAGATACAATGGATAAAGAATCAAAATTCTTAATATAAAACTCAATGAGAAAAATAAAATTGAATATAAGAAAATGGCTATATAAATAGGAAACTCACAGAAAGTATTGATGCTCTAGGAAAAAAAAAACAGTTTTCCCTACACCTTTGTTCTCAATAGAGAATACTTTATCCATGGCCAACAAACTGTGTGTGGTATTTCTCTACCCTGACCAGTTCTACAACACTAGTTTGCTATCCTACATTTTAACTCAATTCTGAGACTATCTGCCCTGAGTTAGCATCCAGTCCTGTGATCCCTTAAGCCTTGCGCAGTCCCAGAAGGCTGCTTCCACTTCAGAGGCCAAGTGAAAGCCCCTGATTTTGACCTGCAATTCCTACTGACCAGCTGACATGAGTGTACATGACCTTTTCTTTAGGCTCAATTAATTTACGAGGGCAATTCACAGAACTAAGGGATGAGCTTATCCTTCAGGGTTCACTATGTTAATAGAGAATATAGGCGCGGCCAGATGGCTCAGTGGGTAAAGAAGTCTGCTGCCAGGCCTAACCATCTGAGGTCTATCCCTGGCCCCCACAAGGACTGGCTCTCAAAAGTTGCATTCTGATCTCCACAAGTAGGCTGTGACAAGCACCACCACTCCACCCCGCTCCCTGCAGCACACACATCAAATATTTAAAAAAAAAAATGCAGCTGGGTGTGGGTGAGCCACACCTGTAATACTAGCACCTGGGAGACCAGGTAGGAAGATAACAAGTTCTTCGCAAGTTAAAAGATACACTTGGCACTCTTGTTGCACAGAGGCTAGCCTGGGCTACATGGCAAGACTGTTTCAGAAAGAAATTGGCGGATATGGACAACATGATAACTCACAACCCCCTGTACTGCCAGTTCTGGGGAATCTGGTGACCTCTCACAGCATCCTTGAGGAGTATCAGGGAGTTCATGACTTGGTGTTTCTAGAGATCAACTCTCATTCAGAGATATCCCTTTAGAACCAGACACTAATGAATCAGGAAACCCTGGGGGATGAGGGTTGATGTGTCATTAGTGCCATGAGGTTGCTGGTCCCATCAGCAACCAGAACCCCAAACCAAATACTACAACACAAGACCCACCTAGCATATTCCTGCTCTTCCAGGAGCTACCCAGGCCCTTAGGGCGCTGTGCCAAGAACAAAGGACAGAAACGTGTGTGTTTTTGTTGTTACAATATATTCCTGCAGACTCCTCTCTCTCTCTCTCTCTCTCTCTCTCTCTCTCTCTCTCTCTCTCTCTCTCTCACACACACACACACACACACACACACACACACACACACA